TCACCTGTAGAGGATGTGTGATTTGTCAGTGAGTGATTTCATCGTCTGGTTTCTGTTTCAGAGCTCGAGAAGCGAACCTGCAGAAGCAGCTGCAGATGGCTGCCAGGTCAAAGGTCGCCTTAGACAGGTGAGATCCAGGTGAACGGAGCTGTACCTGAGCTCTGCATTACCTGCTTTGTTGTTCCTGCGATGAAAGCAACCTGTTTAGAAAAATCATAGCCCCGGTAATGACATCATGGTGTTTGTGGACCTGTAGAGGAGGTCGGGTTCTTCTGAATGCTGCAGGACCAATGAGGAGCTTTTTGCCTTCAGACTCCAGCAGTTCGATGTCTGACGTTTCTGTGTAGCTTCATAAAGCCGCTTGTGTTTCTGGAGCGTTTCTTTAAACCGTGTCGTTGAGGACGTTTGTGGTGTTTTCAGCTCGTCCAGCGCTCCCACGTCCAGGTCGGCGTCTCCGAAGAACGAGCACCAGGACGAGTCGACGGAGCGGCAACGGACCCGACTGTTCAGGTAGAACACCTGATCGATCAGCAGATTATTGGTAGATACAGTCAGAACATCAGGAGGCCAGATGCTGAAGTATTTCATAACGCTGTGACTCAAAGTGAAGCTGACGACAGCCGAAACAGCTGAAGTGCTGCAGAAGTCCTGAGAGGTGAAACATCAGAATCATCAAATGTTTGAAGGAAATAGTGGAAATTCTCAGATATTTAGAGAAAAGAAGAAAAAAATAGTCACAAAATAAAAGGTGATACGTTGAATGTCTGGACAATGATCTGAACGAGATGGCCTCCAACATTTCCTGGAGCGATTTAAAGGAAACCTGCTGTTGTTCATCCTGACCTGTTCCAGACTCTCAGCCGCTTTAAATGAACCCAGCCGTGTGTTGGGGCTCTGCTGACTAGCTGTTGTCTTAACTAGCTGTACCTGCGGGTAACTAACCTGCTGGTTAGTGACTAACACACTCAGTGAACAGTTTCATGTTGTGGCTCAGGTCGGCGTCGGCGACTTCTCCGAGGATCTTCGCCTCCATCAAAGAGCTGTTTGAGTGAGTCCTCGTTTGTGTCTAAAGGTGTTTGTTTGTTGCTTCCTGTTTGTATCCTAACCAACCAATGAATGTGTGAGTCAGCAGGAAGAGGCGGGGCCACTCGGTCTGCAGTCTGGAGGAGGATCTGGTGTTTCCGGTCGGACTCTGTCTGTCGGCCAGAGTTCCTGTCAGGGCGCTTCAAGTTCTGGTAAAACTCTCAGACTCACGCACAGGTGGAGCTCGCCTGAACGAAGCTCCGCCCACTTTCCTCCAGGAAGCCGCGTATTTACATCATGAGGCTGAATCCATCAACACTGTGAATGACAGAGGGCAGGACGGACCATCAGAACCGGGTCTAAATCGCTTTTCTCATAAACTATAAACATCTAAATGATGTCTGTGACACTTTGACACCTCAAATACTGTCGGTGATATTTATTTATCAGAAACCGTCCGTCGACCCACTTTCAGTGTTTAACACCAGGTCCAAATATCACTCTTTATAAAGACAACATCAGGCTTCTGTTCAGAACCATTTGGTTAGAATGTAAAATTAAATAAATATTAAATATTCATATATTAGAAACTGATTCCCTCAGAGTGGATCCTGTCTGCAGATGGTTCTGGTTCTGGAGGTAAAACGGTCCTTCCATCGTCTAGAACTGGTTCTGACCAACCACCATCACACATGCTGACATGAGCCTGGAAAGTTTACCCAGAATGCACTTTGTAAAGTTTCCTCTGGTGAATGATCAGAACCAGAACCACATCCAGGGTACCACTGATTGTTTCTATGACTCTGTGTCATAGACATTAAACTGGTACC